CTCCTCTTTTTACATTTTTATGTAAGAAGAGCTTAAACTTTGTCATTTAAAAAGTTGTTTTCACATATTGCTTTTTGGTTTTGCTGATTTTGTCCATTGTTTTCTACTCTCCATTTCATTTGCTTCTCCTTAGTTTTTTACATATTTTCTCCCTTCTGCTTGATTTTAGTTTACTCTTTTTCTGGTTACTAAGGTGAAAACATAAGTTGGATTTGAAATTTTTCTTGTTTTTTAATATAGGCATTTAGCACTGATTTGAGCATGTTGTGTCCTTGGTTTCATTCATCTCAAAGTATTTCTAGCTTTCCTTTGGATTTCTCTGACCAATTAGTTTTCAGAAGTATGTTGTTTAATTTCTTTATATTTGTAGTTTTCCCAAATATCCTTGTGTCACTAATTTCTAATTTAATTCCATTTTGGTCATAAAACATGTAAAATATATTTTCAATCCCTTGAATTTACTGAGGCTTGTTTTATGATAGCATGAGGTCTCTCATGAAAAGTGTGTTACTGTTTTGTAGAGTGTTCTATGTATGTCTATTAGTTTTTTAAAAATTTTAAGTATTGTTTAAGTCTTCTATTTCCTTATATATCTTCTGCCTAATTGTTCTACTTTTGAAGGTGAACTTTTAAGTTTCCAGCTATTATTGTTGAATTGTCTATTTCTCCCTTTAATCCTGTTAGTTTTTGCTTCATCTGTGTGTGTGTGTGTGTGTGTGTGTGTGTGTGTGTGTGTCTGTGTGTGTATGTCACTTGGAGTCTCTTATTGGGTCCATATATGTTGATTGTTGTTTTGTCTGTCTGGTGAATTGAACCTTTTATTACTATGAAATGAGTCTCTCTATTTTTTAATTATATTTTAAAATTATATTTTAGTGGTTGCTCTGGAGCATACAATATACATTTGAAATTATCAGAATCTACTTCAGATATATAGTATTTTGGTTACAACCAAGTAAAGAAATTTTAATTTTATATAGCTCTATTTTTTCCCCACTTTTTTGTTCTATGACTGATACATATTTTTTTATATGGTTAAGTCATAAAACTGACACACAAGTAAAACATCTATATATGTTGAAATACAGCAATATATTTTCATAACTATTGCTGTTTGTAATCTTATGTCTTTTAAAGAAGCTGAGGGAAGAAAGTAGAAAAGTGTATATATATATATACACACATATATATATATTTTATTTTATTTATTTCTTTTTGAGATGAAGTGTCACTCTGTGGCTCAGGCTGGAGTGCAATGGTATGATCTCAGCTCACTGCAAGCTCCGCCTCCCAGGTTCAAGCGATTCTTCTGCCTCAGCCTCTTGAGTAGCTGGGACTACAGGTGCATGCCACCATGTCCGGGTAACTTTTGTATTTTTTAGTAGAGACGGGGTTTCACCATATTGGCCAGGCTGGTCTTGAACTCCTGACCTCATGATCTGTCCGCCTCAGCCTCCCAAAGTGCTCGAATTACAGGCCTGAGTCACCAAGCCTGGCCAACTTTCTTATTTGACCTTTTTGGTTCTCTTTCTCTCTATGTGTGGATCTGCATCACCATAAGGTATCATTTCCTTACTCCAAACTCCAGTACACCTTTGTTTCTGCCCCTTTTCTCTGTTATTGTCAAGTGTGTTACTGGTGCTCTGGATATTTTCATGTGAATTTGAATTACTGTCTGATGTCATTTACCTTCAGCCCGAAGAAATTCCTTTAGCATTATTGTGTGTTATGTCTATTAGCATTGAATTCTCTCAGTTTTGTTTATCCGGGGTGGTGTATTACACTTTTCTTTACTCTTTTCTTTTTTTTTTTAGACAGAGTTTTGCTCTTGTTGCCCAAGCTGGAGTGCAATGGTGTGATCTTGGCTCACCATAACCTCTGCCTCCAGGGTTCAAGCAATTCTCCTGCCTCAGCCTCCCAAGTAGGTGGGATTACAGGCATGCATCACCACACCCAGCTAATTTTGTATTTTTAGTACAGATGGAGTTTCTCCATGTTGGCCAGGCTGGTCTCGAACTCCTCACCTCAGGTGATCTGCTTGCCTCTGCCTCCCAAATTGCTGGGATTACAGGTGTGAGTCACTGCACCCGGCCATCACCTTAATTTTTGAAAGATAGGTTTCTCTGGCTATAAGATTCCTGGTTGACAGTTTTTTACATTTAGCAATTTGAATATGTCATCCCGTTACATTCTGACCTCCTTTGTTTCTTTTGAGAAGTTAATTGCAATTGGGGTTAACTTATATGTGATGGGTCTTTTATCTCCTGGTGCTTTCAAGATTTTTGTCTTTGGTTTTAATTTCTACTGTACTGTGTCTATTTACTTTTTTTTTTTTTTTTTTGCATTTTTCAAACTTTGGGTTTGTTGAATTCTAAGCTCATTAAATATATTTCTTCCAGTTTCCAAATGACTTAATTACACCTTACTGTCTACCCCATGATATTTGGCTGATTTATGTAGTAGACCTAACCTCTGAAGGCATTTTTGATTTTTACTTATAGAGTACAGGTGTGTATTGTGCTTAACTTATAGTTGAGAGTAAACAGGTCCACATGACAGAAAGATAATAGACCATTTTCCTTCCCAAATAATGTGATTTTAATATTATCTTTACAAACACTGAACTTCCAATTTCTTGAGACAATGTTGACTGTTAATAAGTGATTGTGAAACATGTCAAATATATGCTCCTATGGCACAATTTGTATCTCCTGTGCTCTGATTCATACCCATTTGTAGTTGGTTGAATAATGGCCACCCTAAGATACGAAGTCCTAATTCTTGATACTTGTAAACATTATCTTGTTTGCTATAAGGACCTTTGTAGATATTATTAAGCATCTTGAGAAGATTACTTTGGATTATCTGATTAGGCTCTAAATCTCATCATAAGGGTCCTTACCAGAGAGAAAAACACAGAGCAGGGATACACAGAAGAGACAATTGTAATATCATGCAACCTCAAGCCATGAAATGCTGTCAAGCACCAGAAGCTGGAAGAGGCAAAGAATGGATTCTCTCCTAGAGCTTCCAGAAAGAGTATAGCTCTGTGGACATTTTGATTTTGGACTTTCGACCTCCAGGATTATGAGAAAATAAAGTTCTCTTTTTGAAAACCACTCACTTTTTAGTAAGTTGTTAGAGAATCCATAAAAAATTGATATACTACCCTAGCAATCATTTCTTTAATACCTATTTTCTGTATGAAACTGTAAGCTTCATAAATGCTCAATTATCTGTCTTACACATCTTGATAAGTCCAGCTACTAGCAGAGGGTTTAGTAATATCTGAGCCTTGTTGAATGCTTATTAATAAAATGAGTTAATAGGCTGTGATTCCCACATCACTCACAGCTGAGGGTTTAGCTAGGTAAATCAGTGAACATGTGAATGAATTAAAGGGCAAATATATATTTATTCCCATAAACAATAAATACAGACTAAGTGTAAAAGATTATCATGTTTTTTGGTTTTCCAGCAAAGGAACCCTCTCAGTTCATTTGCTGGAGACTGTATAAATTTTATGACTAGGAACAAAGAAGACAAAGTTTTATGGGTCGTTTTGAGTTTTCAGCCTAGGAAAGGTGGTTATTCTCTCAGATACAGGGAATAGGTCAGGAGGAGGCATATGAAATTGTGTTTTTAGCTGTTTGACCTAACATGTGATTTCCTAGATAATAATAGTTGTTTGAATATGTTGCTTCAGCCACCACTACTTACAAGGCCTACCTTAAGTCAGAAAAATAAATAAATAAATAACAACAAACTAACGAAAGGCACCAAGTGACTGACTTTTGGTTATGCAGTGAGCTCAGTCTGCTGGGGTTACTGTTCAAATAAACTCTTGCCATTTCACTGCATAATGATTTTGCTCAGATTAATGATTCTCTTGTGCTGTATGCTGGGGTTAATGGTTATGTTATGTTACTTCAAATTATATCACAGGGTCCAAATAAGATGTGTGTGTGTGTGTGTGTGTGTGTGCAAGCAGGAAGCCCTTTCATGTTGCAGCCATGTAAGATTAACTTTATTATCTCATTCTATTTTTCTGTTTGTTTCTTACTCTTCTCTATTATCCATGAAAACTCTTTGTTCTTTGTTGTACTTCTCAGCAAAATAGCTTTTGCCTGGTTCCAACTCCAACCTATGTTAAATTATACTTCTTCCTGGAATCTACTTCAACAGAAGGTGATATTTCCTCTTAATTCCTATAGTACTTTGCATATTTTTTATCATGGTCCTGAAAATGACAAGAGCCACCATTTACTGAGCGTTCATTATATGGCAAAGATTGGATTACATCCTTTAAATCTATCATTTCGTTTAATTCTTACAGCAGTTCTGTGTAGTGGGCTCTTTATTTTACAGGAGAGAAAAACTGAAATTTAGAGAAGTTTAAGTGATTTGCACAAAATATGCTGCTTCCAAGTAGAAGATCTAAATTTCACATAGATAATTTGTAGCACTCATGTTTTTAACCTTGACCACATATAGTTCTTTAGACCAATACTGATAGCATAGTAAATATGTTTTCTTTCCTAGGTTATAATAACCTAGGATAGCTCTGTATCATTTTTTTCATTTCTCAAATTACAGCTTCCAGGACCCAGCAACTCAATATTGTTTGGGTGAATTAATACATGTCTAGAATTTAATTATTACAATAAAAAATTACTGGGCCTTAAAATATATTTTAACATAATTTAAGAAAGTTGTACTGATGGCAACAAATAAGTCATTATAAAAACTTAAAAGATGGAATTTGTGGGTAAGCATGATTTATTCAATATTAACTATGCCCAATGTCTTCTCTCCTGTTTCTTCAAGTTCTATATGTAAGCAATGCATAAAATAGTGAAATATTCATTCATGAATTTTTGATATTTCCTATATAGACGATTTTGTTGAGGTTATAAAAACATTTTGTTTTAATTAATTTATTTATTAAATGCAAATTGGTTTATTAATCTTATGTGTTTTTGTTGTTGTTTTGTTTCCAGGATGGCGTGGGGGTAGATGAGAAGCTGTCTTTACGACGGGTAGCTGTGGTTGAAGATTTCTTTGACATTATTTATTCGATGCATGTGGAAACGGGGCCAAATGGAGAACAAATTCGGAAACATGCTGGACAAAAGAGAACTTACAAAGCAGTAAGTTAAAAAAGAAAAAAAAAAAAGAGCATGCATTTTGAGACTTGATATTACGTATCCTTGTTTAAATGGGTTTGATAATTATATTCTATCTTCAACATAAATTAGGCCATATGATGGTCTTGCCCAACATTTAAACTATAATTATTTTGGCTGTATGTTCACTAATCTATTCATATAATTTAAAACTGTCTCTAGAATTTTCATGTTGTTGCTTTTAAAAATGTGTAATATGTGGTAGTCCCAATCAAATGCCCACAAATGGGAAGATATATTATATATTATATTATGAATATTATATATTCAGTGAGTCATAGCATATGAATTGTGGACTGGAACATAAGAACTTTTATACTACCACTACTATCAACATTTATTTTCCATCAAATCTTATTAATATGTTTAGGTATTTTCTAGTTCATAGTAATAATAAAATGAGTAAGAACATTTTATGTAATTTTCTTATGTCACCTTATATTCAATATATTTATCCTGAAGGGTATGTATTTCTTAATTTTCTAGGATAGACTATTAAAAGATATGTGTTATTTTAATAGATCGAATGCCCTTGAAAGTTTAAAAATGGAAGTATATGATGTTTTTGTCATAAATTTTGCAAAAAGCAGATTTAATTAACTGTTAGATATCGAAATATATTTTGTCAAAATGGAGTAATATATTATTTCTAAAGTTTCTAATTATACCTACAGTTTGATCTAGACACTTTAATCTAGCTTTTTCTTTAAAAACTTTATAAAATCATATTACTATAGATATTTCATCCTGTCTAGGAAAATTGAACAGTAAATTATTCTTCTCCTATATGAGCGAAATGTACATCCGAATTACTTTGTCAGCAATTAGAATAATATCCTTTTTGAGAAATCTTATTGAATTTTGCTTTTGGCTACCTTTATATTAACTGTTTTCAGCTGTATTGATATACAATATCAGTCTGGATCCATTTTTTTTTCAGATACAGAAAAATGTGTGAAATGCTCAAAGTTTCAAATACAGGTACCTATGTTTGAAAATTAGCTACTGAGCATAAGAAATAGCTTCTTTTTCATAACTATTTTTTGCTATATTGCCAGGGTCATATTGAATCTTTGTAGTTGCATAATAACCCCTAATACATGTTGTATTTATCCCTCCTTCTCTATGGTTTTGTTTCTTGGCTGTTTCCAAATTGCATGGTTTGTGGGCAGGCACTATTGTAAGTTTCCTTACATAAATCTGCCACATAAACTTTCTTTTGACTTACACATTCCAGGAGACATTCTTATCATGACTAATGATAATGGCCTAGCTTCTTGAGATATTTTTATATAGACTAACATTACTGAACATACTCATTTTGCCTGTCTCCTAAGCCAGGGTTATTCCTCTGGACAGTAATAGGAAAAAAAAAGAAATGTATATTGATCTACTAATATCACTAACTGTGTAATCTTATAATAATGCATTTTCATGAAATAGCTACCTGAACGCGATAGGACTTTGTAAAAGGACTTTGCTAGGGATGCATAATTTCAATTGTATTAAATGAATAAAAACAAAAACCAAAATAACAAGAAAAAATCAAGTGGTTTCATTGTCAATAGTAGTGTGAAAGTCAAATCTGTTTAGGTGCCAAAAGCAATTTAAAATAATTTAATCTTTGAAATGCATTTATTATAGACCTTTAATCAAAATGCAAAATGAGTCAGTGATTTAAATCCAAATCTCTTGCCCCGTGTTTTCTTAAATGAAATGTAGAGAATCTAATCCATTGCCATTATGCATGCTAAACACTTGCAATAAATTGATAAACGTGTTTCCACTATACATAATTTTGAATTAATATCAGGAAGACATTTTCTGCATTTTGGGGTAGGGATACAGAATCTGAAACCTCATCTAATCCCTCTTGAGAATGTCTTATTTGAATATCCTCTTTTCCCAAGTTTTTATTTGCACATCTAAAGTGTTGTCACCTTTTCCTAATACGTGAAGGTTCTTTTTGGCCTGAACTTTTTCCCTCTGATCTCTCTAAGTAGAATTCTAATTGGGAAACATTTCCTTTTTATGCAGTAATAATTCATTGTAGGAAAGAAACAAAATATAGAACTGCTTGCAATGCCAGTGAAACTGTGCATATGACTCTACAATGAATTTAAGTCTAATGTTAAAATGTGATGAAAGTGTCCAATTAATGGGGCATAAAACTAAAATGTAATTTGAAATAGAATGGTTTAGTGCTATTAAGGCCATAGACTGTTGGGCCAGACTTTAATTCTTAATACTAATGCTGAATTTGACTAGTCATAGGTAGGATTAGCTAGATAACTATTGCAATTATAATGGTTCCCATTAAGTTTAATATTTCTTTCTAATTCTTAAACATTAGCTTATAGAGCATGCATAATGATTATGTTTATTGACCTTCTTTTTCTCCTTTTTCCTACATGGCCAAGAAACCATACTTATACAACTAATCATATTAAAGTGTATCATATTGTCTTAACAATATTATCAATAGATCTAGTGGTCATTTTATTTACTTTGCCTTTTTGCAAATCTTTCTATGTTTTCATTCTGCAGGAAATGGTGGTCCTTTAATATTGGATTAACTTTTGAATGCATTTGGTTTTTCTATCTGCAGTATATCATTCCTTGAAATATCTAGGCATTTATAAAACTTAAACTGTATTGCAATCTGATTTGACTTTAGCTAAAAATTGGAGGGTATATATATTATTTCTCATGAGCTCTTGAAAATCCCACACAAAATGACACATTTGAGGAATATGTAAAGGCTCTCATGATTACTTTTTCAGTCTTTATTGAATTATAGTGACTCTTAGGTCTCTGTTCTACATTTGTATCTGTGTATGTATTAACTTACTGGCACATTGAATGTGTTTCTTTCAATATATTTGTCTATAGTCTACTCTTGGTTATCTACATGAACAAAATGGAGAAGAGGTAGGACCATTCAATATCCCTCATGTTTGAACTTAAAATATATCCTTTTACTAAAAAATAGAATCTGAATGCAGATGTGGTTAGCAATTTGGAAAGTCACTTCAAAATTGATGATGTGACATTATAAAAATAACTTGGGATCCTGTTTTGTCTTCTAGTTTGTAACTCTTCTCAAATTCTGCCAAAACTTCACCTTCTGTGAATACATCACTGTTTTCTGGTTTTCTTTTATCAACTGTATTATATCACAGGGTAAGCGAGTTCAGACACATTTCTTAAATTAGGGACTAATCAAAGGATTAAGTTTCAGAGCTCTTTCTTGATACGTGTAAAATAAGACTAACTGGTAGAAATCCAGGAACTAAGAGGGAAAGTCAGTGTTATCAATAGAGAAAACAGTCTGCATATATCTGTGCATAAACACATATACACACACACAACTCTCAGTGTGATATTGTAAACTTACATGTATTACTCATATATATAACTGCCAATAATTACATTCAAGTCAGGAGTGGAGAACATATGCTATAGCTAAAAGGAAATAGGCTGGAAGCCAGACTAACGCAGTTTCAAATTTCAAATCTAACACTCATTTCGTATCTGTACCACTTTTGGCAAATTATTTACTCTTTTTCTTTATAGGGTGGATAATGATACACATTGTGTGCTAAAATGAATGAGTTACTGTGTGTAAAGTGCTTGGCATATAGTAAACTTGTGATTGGTGTTATTTCTCTCCTTCTTTGTCCAATCACTACTCATGTTTCATGTAGAAGGACACGCAGCAAAATTAGCATAGCTCTATCATTTACCCTAATTACAATTACGGATCTAATTTCCTAGGCCCGCTCTGATGCCTCTGTGTTGGTAGACAGGAATAGTAGTAACTTTTCTTGCAGGCATTTTTTTGGTGCGTCCTGTAGGTGTCACTATCCCTGAAAGTCCACAGTTTGGGTTTATAAGAAAGCATGAGGAAAGGCCAGAGTTCTTGTATTTAGGAGATGTCCTGCCAGATGAAATTTGTGAGAGTTTCAGTTACTTCATTTGCTTTTCCCAAAGATTAAAATCTCTTAAACTAATTTCAAATTAATTTTCTGGAAAAAAATAAAATTGGCTCTGTTTTTTAAAAAAATGCTTTTAATATGAATGGAATATTCCTTTCCAGAGATATGCTGTAGAATAGTAACATATTCGTGTAGAATCTCTACAGCCTTACTCTGAAGATTAACAAAGAAAATCTTTATTCTGTCATATCTAGGGCACGTAACCTTAAAACTCTAGTTTAGCATTATTTTTTGCCTAGTTCTTTTAGTGAATATCTATTGGTTCACTGTCTCTGTTGCTAAATAGAATATTCTAACTTGCACCAGTTTCTGCTAGTTTGTCACGCAAAAATTCCCAGAATTTTTGTCAACTTATAATGGGACTAATGAACCAAATTTGCAGCCATCATGGTGTGGAAAAATAGCACTAAAGTCAAATTCAAGGATTCTGAACAATACATTTAACCTCTTTGTGGATAGGCCACAATTCACTCACATATATGATGTAATTCTATAGTCTAAGACAGAGTTTGTAGAGTTTGCAGATCTTAACAGTGTTAAAATAGGGGTTTATCTATATATATTTGTGATTCATGCCAAGAAGGCTTTGGTCCTAAGCACATTTTTCTTTTGTGTCATAGTGCCTCAAGTTTTACAATTAGAACTCAATCTATTTGGGTTAAACCGTTGACCCCTGTATCTTTATATAAAATTCAAATATCATTAGGCAAGAGAAGGTGGAGAATCACTTAAGTTGTTAGCAGTCATTGATACTTTATATGATCATTTAACATACATGCTTCTGTCTCTCATCTGTAGCTAAATTTAACTCAAGTCAGGAGTAAGATAGAAAATGTGAGTCATTGGCATAGAGCAATCTGTTGACCTCCCATTTAGAACAGGACCTGCCTGATTTTTTTTATTTTTATTTTTTGAGACAGAGTTTTACTCTTGTCGCCCACACTGGAGTGAAATAGCATGATCTCA